ATGGAGCGGGTGAGGCGCCAGAAGGTGATAATTCCCCTCTAGCCCCCCTCTTTCTTCCCCCCCCAACACACCGTGCCTGTGCCGTCCTTGGAGGTGGCGAAGCTGGCAAATTTCCCCAAGAAGATGGAGCGGGTGAGGCGCCAGAAGGTGATAATTCCCCTCTAGCCCCCCTCTTTCTTCCCCCCCCAACACACCGTGCCTGTGCCGTCCTTGGAGGTGGCGAAGCTGGCAAATTTCCCCAAGAAGATGGAGCGGGTGAGGCGCCAGAAGGTGATAATTCCCCTCTAGCCCCCCTCTTTCTTCCCCCCCCAACACACCGTGCCTGTGCCGTCCTTGGAGGTGGCGAAGCTGGCAAATTTCCCCAAGAAGATGGAGCGGGTGAGGCGCCAGAAGGTGATAATTCCCCTCTAGCCCCCCTCTTTCTTCCCCCCCCAACACACCGTGCCTGTGCCGTCCTTGGAGGTGGCGAAGCTGGCAAATTTCCCCAAGAAGATGGAGCGGGTGAGGCGCCAGAAGGTGATAATTCCCCTCTAGCCCCCCTCTTTCTTCCCCCCCCAACACACCGTGCCTGTGCCGTCCTTGGAGGTGGCGAAGCTGGCAAATTTCCCCAAGAAGATGGAGCGGGTGAGGCGCCAGAAGGTGATAATTCCCCTCTAGCCCCCCTCTTTCTTCCCCCCCCAACACACCGTGCCTGTGCCGTCCTTGGAGGTGGCGAAGCTGGCAAATTTCCCCAAGAAGATGGAGCGGGTGAGGCGCCAGAAGGTGATAATTCCCCTCTAGCCCCCCTCTTTCTTCCCCCCCCAACACACCGTGCCTGTGCCGTCCTTGGAGGTGGCGAAGCTGGCAAATTTCCCCAAGAAGATGGAGCGGGTGAGGCGCCAGAAGGTGATAATTCCCCTCTAGCCCCCCTCTTTCTTCCCCCCCCAACACACCGTGCCTGTGCCGTCCTTGGAGGTGGCGAAGCTGGCAAATTTCCCCAAGAAGATGGAGCGGGTGAGGCGCCAGAAGGTGATAATTCCCCTCTAGCCCCCCTCTTTCTTCCCCCCCCAACACACCGTGCCTGTGCCGTCCTTGGAGGTGGCGAAGCTGGCAAATTTCCCCAAGAAGATGGAGCGGGTGAGGCGCCAGAAGGTGATAATTCCCCTCTAGCCCCCCTCTTTCTTCCCCCCCCAACACACCGTGCCTGTGCCGTCCTTGGAGGTGGCGAAGCTGGCAAATTTCCCCAAGAAGATGGAGCGGGTGAGGCGCCAGAAGGTGATAATTCCCCTCTAGCCCCCCTCTTTCTTCCCCCCCCAACACACCGTGCCTGTGCCGTCCTTGGAGGTGGCGAAGCTGGCAAATTTCCCCGAAGAAGATGGAGCGGGTGAGGCGCCAGAAGGTGATAATTCCCCTCTAGCCCCCCTCTTTCTTCCCCCCCCAACACACCGTGCCTGTGCCGTCCTTGGAGGTGGCGAAGCTGGCAAATTTCCCCAAGAAGATGGAGCGGGTGAGGCGCCAGAAGGTGATAATTCCCCTCTAGCCCCCCTCTTTCTTCCCCCCCCAACACACCGTGCCTGTGCCGTCCTTGGAGGTGGCGAAGCTGGCAAATTTCCCCAAGAAGATGGAGCGGGTGAGGCGCCAGAAGGTGATAATTCCCCTCTAGCCCCCCTCTTTCTTCCCCCCCCAACACACCGTGCCTGTGCCGTCCTTGGAGGTGGCGAAGCTGGCAAATTTCCCCAAGAAGATGGAGCGGGTGAGGCGCCAGAAGGTGATAATTCCCCTCTAGCCCCCCTCTTTCTTCCCCCCCCAACACACCGTGCCTGTGCCGTCCTTGGAGGTGGCGAAGCTGGCAAATTTCCCCAAGAAGATGGAGCGGGTGAGGCGCCAGAAGGTGATAATTCCCCTCTAGCCCCCCTCTTTCTTCCCCCCCCAACACACCGTGCCTGTGCCGTCCTTGGAGGTGGCGAAGCTGGCAAATTTCCCCAAGAAGATGGAGCGGGTGAGGCGCCAGAAGGTGATAATTCCCCTCTAGCCCCCCTCTTTCTTCCCCCCCCAACACACCGTGCCTGTGCCGTCCTTGGAGGTGGCGAAGCTGGCAAATTTCCCCAAGAAGATGGAGCGGGTGAGGCGCCAGAAGGTGATAATTCCCCTCTAGCCCCCCTCTTTCTTCCCCCCCCAACACACCGTGCCTGTGCCGTCCTTGGAGGTGGCGAAGCTGGCAAATTTCCCCGAGAAGATGGAGCGGGTGAGGCGCCAGAAGGTGATAATTCCCCTCTAGCCCCCCTCTTTCTTCCCCCCCCAACACACCGTGCCTGTGCCGTCCTTGGAGGTGGCGAAGCTGGCAAATTTCCCCAAGAAGATGGAGCGGGTGAGGCGCCAGAAGGTGATAATTCCCCTCTAGCCCCCCTCTTTCTTCCCCCCCCAACACACACGTGCCTGTGCCGTCCTTGGAGGTGGCGAAGCTGGCAAATTTCCCCAAGAAGATGGAGCGGGTGAGGCGCCAGAAGGTGATAATTCCCCTCTAGCCCCCCTCTTTCTTCCCCCCCCAACACACCGTGCCTGTGCCGTCCTTGGAGGTGGCGAAGCTGGCAAATTTCCCCAAGAAGATGGAGCGGGTGAGGCGCCAGAAGGTGATAATTCCCCTCTAGCCCCCCTCTTTCTTCCCCCCCCAACACACCGTGCCTGTGCCGTCCTTGGAGGTGGCGAAGCTGGCAAATTTCCCCAAGAAGATGGAGCGGGTGAGGCGCCAGAAGGTGATAATTCCCCTCTAGCCCCCCTCTTTCTTCCCCCCCCAACACACCGTGCCTGTGCCGTCCTTGGAGGTGGCGAAGCTGGCAAATTTCCCCAAGAAGATGGAGCGGGTGAGGCGCCAGAAGGTGATAATTCCCCTCTAGCCCCCCTCTTTCTTCCCCCCCCAACACACCGTGCCTGTGCCGTCCTTGGAGGTGGCGAAGCTGGCAAATTTCCCCAAGAAGATGGAGCGGGTGAGGCGCCAGAAGGTGATAATTCCCCTCTAGCCCCCCTCTTTCTTCCCCCCCCAACACACCGTGCCTGTGCCGTCCTTGGAGGTGGCGAAGCTGGCAAATTTCCCCAAGAAGATGGAGCGGGTGAGGCGCCAGAAGGTGATAATTCCCCTCTAGCCCCCCTCTTTCTTCCCCCCCCAACACACCGTGCCTGTGCCGTCCTTGGAGGTGGCGAAGCTGGCAAATTTCCCCAAGAAGATGGAGCGGGTGAGGCGCCAGAAGGTGATAATTCCCCTCTAGCCCCCCTCTTTCTTCCCCCCCCAACACACCGTGCCTGTGCCGTCCTTGGAGGTGGCGAAGCTGGCAAATTTCCCCAAGAAGATGGAGCGGGTGAGGCGCCAGAAGGTGATAATTCCCCTCTAGCCCCCCTCTTTCTTCCCCCCCCAACACACCGTGCCTGTGCCGTCCTTGGAGGTGGCGAAGCTGGCAAATTTCCCCAAGAAGATGGAGCGGGTGAGGCGCCAGAAGGTGATAATTCCCCTCTAGCCCCCCTCTTTCTTCCCCCCCCAACACACCGTGCCTGTGCCGTCCTTGGAGGTGGCGAAGCTGGCAAATTTCCCCAAGAAGATGGAGCGGGTGAGGCGCCAGAAGGTGATAATTCCCCTCTAGCCCCCCTCTTTCTTCCCCCCCCAACACACCGTGCCTGTGCCGTCCTTGGAGGTGGCGAAGCTGGCAAATTTCCCCAAGAAGATGGAGCGGGTGAGGCGCCAGAAGGTGATAATTCCCCTCTAGCCCCCCTCTTTCTTCCCCCCCCAACACACCGTGCCTGTGCCGTCCTTGGAGGTGGCGAAGCTGGCAAATTTCCCCAAGAAGATGGAGCGGGTGAGGCGCCAGAAGGTGATAATTCCCCTCTAGCCCCCCTCTTTCTTCCCCCCCCAACACACCGTGCCTGTGCCGTCCTTGGAGGTGGCGAAGCTGGCAAATTTCCCCAAGAAGATGGAGCGGGTGAGGCGCCAGAAGGTGATAATTCCCCTCTAGCCCCCCTCTTTCTTCCCCCCCCAACACACCGTGCCTGTGCCGTCCTTGGAGGTGGCGAAGCTGGCAAATTTCCCCAAGAAGATGGAGCGGGTGAGGCGCCAGAAGGTGATAATTCCCCTCTAGCCCCCCTCTTTCTTCCCCCCCCAACACACCGTGCCTGTGCCGTCCTTGGAGGTGGCGAAGCTGGCAAATTTCCCCAAGAAGATGGAGCGGGTGAGGCGCCAGAAGGTGATAATTCCCCTCTAGCCCCCCTCTTTCTTCCCCCCCCAACACACCGTGCCTGTGCCGTCCTTGGAGGTGGCGAAGCTGGCAAATTTCCCCAAGAAGATGGAGCGGGTGAGGCGCCAGAAGGTGATAATTCCCCTCTAGCCCCCCTCTTTCTTCCCCCCCCAACACACCGTGCCTGTGCCGTCCTTGGAGGTGGCGAAGCTGGCAAATTTCCCCAAGAAGATGGAGCGGGTGAGGCGCCAGAAGGTGATAATTCCCCTCTAGCCCCCTCTTTCTTCCCCCCCCAACACACCGTGCCTGTGCCGTCCTTGGAGGTGGCGAAGCTGGCAAATTTCCCCAAGAAGATGGAGCGGGTGAGGCGCCAGAAGGTGATAATTCCCCTCTAGCCCCCCTCTTTCTTCCCCCCCCAACACACCGTGCCTGTGCCGTCCTTGGAGGTGGCGAAGCTGGCAAATTTCCCCAAGAAGATGGAGCGGGTGAGGCGCCAGAAGGTGATAATTCCCCTCTAGCCCCCCTCTTTCTTCCCCCCCCAACACACCGTGCCTGTGCCGTCCTTGGAGGTGGCGAAGCTGGCAAATTTCCCCAAGAAGATGGAGCGGGTGAGGCGCCAGAAGGTGATAATTCCCCTCTAGCCCCCCTCTTTCTTCCCCCCCCAACACACCGTGCCTGTGCCGTCCTTGGAGGTGGCGAAGCTGGCAAACTTCCCCGAGAAGATGGAGCGAGTGAGGCGCCAGAAGGTATTTCCTCTCTTCCCTACAACTGTACCCCCACACACCCCTTTTCCCCAACCCCTCAACGCACCGTGCCGGTGCCGTCCTTGGAGGTGGCGAAGCTGGCGAATTTCCCCGAGAAGATGGAGCGGGTGAGGCGCCAGAAGCGCGGCACGTGGTGCTGCAGGATGGCCGTGAGCCGCACGATCAGCCGCGTGTGCGCCTCGTCAAACGCCTCCCCGTCCATCAGCCCGTCCGATGAGTCGTCTGCCGCTGGTTGGCCCAGGAGGAGCGACAGGTCAACGTCCTCCTGCGAGTGGGCATGGAGAAGATGGGTGGTGGTTGATGTGAGGTATGAGCCGCACGATCAGCCGCGTGTGCGCCTCGTCAAACGCCCCCCCGTCCATCAGCCCGTCCGATGAGTCGTCTGAGGCCGGCTGGCCCAGGAGTAGTGACAGGTCCACGTCCTCCTGCGAGAGGGAGGTACAGGTAATGAAAGAGGAGGGCAGGTGGGGGGTGGTTCAGGGAGTGCCTCAAGGTCCCTCGTCAAAGGCCTCCCTGTCCATCAGCCCATCTGACGAGTCGTCCGCTGCTGGCTGGCTGGCCCAGAAGGAGCGACAGGTCCACGTCCTCCTGCGAGTGGGTATGGGGAGAATGGACGGGGGTTGATGATGAGGGTATGAGCCGCACGATGAGCCACGTGTGCGCCTCGTCAAACGCCTCCCCGTCCATCAGCCCGTCCGATGAATCGTCTGCTGCTGGCTGGCCTAAGAGCAAAGAGAGATCCACGTCCTCCTGAAAATAGGTATGGGAAAGTGGGTGGGGGGGTGTTCATGAGGGTATGAGGTATGAGAAACGCGTTTCATGAGGGTATGAGGTATGAGAAGCGCGTTTCATGAGGGTATGAGGTATGAGAAACGCGTTTCATGAGGGTATGAGGTATGAGAAACGCGTTTCATGAGGGTATGAGGTATGAGAAACGCGTTTCATGAGGGTATGAGGTATGAGAAACGCGTTTCATGAGGATATGAGGTATGAGAAACGCGTTTCATGAGGGTATGAGGTATGAGAAACGCGTTTCATGAGGGTATGAGGTATGAGAAACGCGTTTCATGAGGGTATGAGGTATGAGAAACGCGTTTCATGAGGGTATGAGGTATGAGAAACGCGTTTCATGAGGGTATGAGGTATGAGAAACGCGTTTCATGAGGGTATGAGGTATGAGAAACGCGTTTCACGAGGGTATGAGGTATGAGAAACGCGTTTCATGAGGGTATGAGGTATGAGAAACGCGTTTCATGAGGGTATGAGGTATGAGAAGCGCGTTTCATGAGGGTATGAGGTATGAGAAACGCGTTTCATGAGGGTATGAGGTATGAGAAACGCGTTTCATGAGGTATGAGCCATGTGGCATGTGCGTGCGCCTCGTCTAATGTCTCTTCATCCATCAAACCATCCCACCCACCCAACCCAACTCCCATTTCCACCCACTCACCCACCCACCCACTCACCAATCAAACTCCCCCCCCACGAAAGAAAAGAATCAGCCTCAAAGTTAGTAACCCCAACCACCGACCCACTCACCCCCGCGTTGGACTCCTGCTGAATCTGCCGCCACCGCGCCTCGGCCTCCCGCTTCTCGTGCTGCTCCTTCTTGAGAGCAGCCACGCGGCTCTCATGCTGCTGCACGCACGCCTCCAGCAGCCCCCGGATGCGCCGGTCCTGCATGGTCACGTGGTGCCAGATGGGATCGCTGTCCGGCTCCAGCTCGAGTAGCAGGCGAATGGCGTTCTCCACCTGAGAGGAGCAAGGGACGGGGAATGAGAGGCAGGAAGAGAGGAGACGTGTTTACTTTTCAGTGCACCAGTCCTGCACGGTCACGTGGTGCCAGATGGGGTCGCTGTCCGGCTCGAGTTCGAGTAACAGGCGGATAGCATTTTCCACCTGACACAACAAGAGAAAAAGAGAGGGAGCAAGGTTTGAGATGTCTTTAGAGAGCCGGTCCTGCATGGTCACGTGGTGCCACATGGGGTAGCTGTCCTGCTCCAGCAGCAGGCGGATGGCGTTCACCACCTGCCATAAAAGGGGGGGACGAGGGGGAGCAAGAGCTGGGAGGGAGGGAGGGAGGCAGGGAAGGAGGGCGTGGGGAAGATGAGCAATCAGGTGAGCGCAGCAGTAGCGGAATGGGGTTCTCCAGCTGGGGGAGACGGAGGGGCAAATGGGGAAAATGGGGACCAGGGGGAGGGGAGGGAGGGGTGGGACTTGCGAAAATGGCGGTGGAAATCGCCATGCTCACGTCCACCTGGTCGGCGTGGGGGTGCACCATGGCATGGCAAAGAGAACTCGTCACGTACCCCACCCATGCACCCCCTGCGCCCCTGCGCCCCGGCGCACCTGCGCCCCTGCAACCCCTGCGCCCCTGCGCCCATGCACCCCCTGCGCCCCTGCGCCCCTGTACACCCTCCATCTACCTGCGCCTGGTCAGCGTTGGGGTCGTCCATCTTGGCGAAGAGCACCTCGTGGAACTCCGCCACCACCTTGTGCACCTCCGCCATCACCCGCCGCAGGATGTTGGACTGTGGGAAAGGGGGGCGAGAGTGGGGAGGGATGGAGTGGATGGGGAACGAGCACGTGTGAGGAGGGCATTGGGAACTCCGCCACCACCTTGTGCACCTCCGCCATCACCCGCCGCAGGATGTTGGACTGCAGAGGCAGGGAGGACGAAGGGGGAAGAGAGAGATGGAGGAGATGAATTACAAACTGGCTGAAACTAAAGTTGCTTTTTGGGTGACACATGGCACATGTGAACGATTACGAGACGGACATATCAAGGCCACCCACCCACCTGACAAGGAAGCTAGGGAAAGAGCTCCCATTTCACTCACAATGGCATGTTAGTGAACTGTTGCACTGTTGTTGGACTGTTGGACTGTTGTTGGACTGCTGTTGGACTGTTGGACTGTTGTTGGACTGCTGTTGGACTGTTGGACTGTTGTTGGACTGTTGAATTGTTGTTGGACTGTTGTTGGACTGTTGGACTGTTGTTGGACTGTTGGGCTGTTGGCCTTTGAGCCACTCATGTGTGCGGGCAGGGAGATGGGATGGCTTTGAGGTACCCGTGCTCGGCACCTGTTGGGTGGGCTTTAAGCTACTCAGGAATGCCCTACCGAAATGGACTGTTGGGCTTTAAGCGACTCACATGCGCGGGCAGCGAGATGGACTTGGCCTTGAGATACTCGTGCACGGCGCGGTCGTACTCGCCGTGCTGCACGAATCCACGCATGACAGCTGGCAGGTTGAAGAGCGTGCGGAAGCGCAGCAACAGCCCCTGCACCGACCGGATGCGATCCACTTGCTTCTGCTCGGGGAGAGGGGGGGGGGGAAGGAAATAAGACGACAGAGGAGGGAGGAAAAGAAAAGCGGGCAGAGGCCCGAGATTGCAGCAGCCCTGCACCGACCGGATGCGATCCACTTGCTTCTGCTCGGGCAGGGGGGGAGAAAGAGAGGAGGAGAGACGGGGGAGATGGGGAACAAAGGGAGGGAGGAGGAAAAAGGGGAGAAAATAAGGGCAGCAAACGGGAGATGGAAAGGACACAAGAAACACAGAACAAATGCGAGTGTTCGAGACAGGAGAGCCCTGTGCTCCCGCTGAACGCATCTGCTTTCATAATTTGAAAATATGGAAGTAGCGAATCTGGAAAGGAGGCAATAACCGGCAGAAACAGAATCCGTCCTCTCCTCCATGCCACCTGTCTGTGCTCTGCTTGGGCACGTGCGTGGCGTTCACAGCCCACCTGGCGGTCGAGCAGCTCTGCTTGCACCTCAGCCCACCTGGCGGTCGAGCAGCGGTCCGAAGGCGGCCTGCGCCATGTCGTGCACGTTGCGGATGGCCACCAGAATCTCCTCATGCATGCCCACATGCATGCCCCTCCCTCATTCATACCCCACCTCATTCACACCCACCTGGCGGTCGAGCAGGTGACCAAACGCAGCCTGAGCCATGTCGTGCACGTTGCGGATGGCCACCAGAATCTTCTCCGTGGCGCCTGCCCACATGCTTGACCCTCAATCATGCATACCCCACTTGTCACTCGACCTGCACAGCTCTGTTTGCCCACCTGCCGGTCGAGCAGCGGACCAAAGGCGGCCTGCGCCATGTCGTGCACGTTGCGGATGGCCACCAGAATCTCCTCTGTGCCACTGTCACTGCGCCGCTCCATCTCCCGCACCTTCTTCTCTATGTCTGCACCGGAGGAGGGGGAGAGAGGAAGGGGGAGGGGGATGGCCACCAGAATCTCCTCTGTGCCGCTGTCACTGCGCCGCTCCATCTCCCGCACCTTCTTCTCTATGTCTGCACGGGAGGAGGGGAGAGGGAGAGGGAGGGATTGGGGAGGGAGGAGGGGAATGGCCCCCAGAATCTCCTCCGTGCCACTGTCACTGCGCCGCTCCATCTCCCGCACCTTCTTCTCTATGTCTGCACGGGAGAAGAGAAGGGGGGGGGGGGGGGAGGGGACGGACGTAGCGTTACATGCAAGGGACGGATGGTGACACCGTGACGTAATACAGGTGGTCTCTGTCTGATCAGCCTCGAGAGCCACCGCTCCATCTCCCCAGCCTTGTTCACTTTGTGTGGTGCATTATGGGGTGGTGTGCTTTGAAACGCCTCAAACCGCCCCTCAAAAATGCCTCTCCATGTTTCTGGGGCCCAACCCAACCCAACCCAACCCAACCCAACCCAACCCAACCCAACCCAACCCAACCCAACCCAACCCAACCCAAGCGACCCGGCAGTCGAAGCCACACAGAGCGCACGCACCTTCAATGGTGGACTTGCAGGAGACGAAGGAGTCAAAGTTTTCCTTGACGAGCGTCTTGAGCTGCTGCTGCTGGTTCTCCATGTCCGCCCCCAGCGTCGCCATGCCCGCCCTCAGCTCCTCCATCGATGTGTCGTCGTGCACTCGCCCCAGGTAGAACGACGGGCTGAACTTGGGACCGAAAACTATGATCTTCTCTGGAGAAGGAGAAGGGAGGGGGAAGGGGTGGGGGAGAGGAGAGAGGCAACTCAGCTCCTCCATCGATGTGTCGTCGTGCACGTGGCACAGGTAGAACGACGGGCAGCGGGCTGAACTTGGGACCGAAAACTATGATCTTCTCTGTGGTGGGCGGGAGAGAGGGTGGGAGAAGGTGGAAGAGAGAGAAGGGAGGGCAGCCCAGAGTGGCCATGCCCGCCCTCAGCTCCTCCATTGGCGTGTCGTCGTGCACTCAGCCCAGGTAGAACGGTGGGCTGAACTTGGGGCCAAACACGATGATCTTTTCTGGAAGAGGAAAGAGAGGGGAGGAGGGAGTTGGAACGGATAGAGTGCAGACTCAGTTGCTCGATAGACATGTGTGCCATAGTGGGTTGAGGGCCATATTCCCTTTCATCTGCGGTACTTCTTTCTCAGACGCCATACTCCTTACTCCACCATACTCCTCGTTTTTGTTTTCTCAGACGCCATACTCCTTACTCCACCATACTCCTCGTTTTTGTTTTCTCAGACGCCATACTCCTTATTCCACCATACTCCTTCCTTTGCCATCGGCCATAAACCTTTTGACCCGCCACGCTCCTTCCCAACCACCGTGCTCCCCTCTCTCTCCATTCTCTCTCTCCACCACACCACACTCCCCCTCTCTCAATGGCCACCCCCTCCTCCCCTCTCTCACCGTCCACATTTTCCCCCTCTCTCACCCACCCACCACCTCCCCCTTCTCACCGGCCATGCTGCGGTCGTCGGGGACGGGAATGGTGGACGCGTTGATTGCCAGACACACCTTCACGCGGTTCAGTGGCCTGGGGGTTGAAGGGAGGGGGAGAGAGTGCGGGCGAGAGAGCATGAGAGCAGGCGGGTGGGGGGGCGAGAGCATGAATGCCAGCAGTGGAGGCGTTGAGGCATGGAAAAAGAGCAGCGGAGGATGAGAGCAGCATATCCATCACATGCACCGCACTGCACCGCTCACCTGGAGCCAAGGAGGTCGGAGAACCCCTCAAGAGCAGACTTGGTCGTGGGCGCGTTGGTGGCCTCCCTACCAGACTATGTTGGAAAAGTCGCCAGCCAGGGACAGCGTACAGCGTATATACGTAAACGTATATACGCTGTGCGCAATACGCACGTGTATTTGTACGAAAAAATCCGGGCTGCCCGGCCAAAAAATAAAAAGAAAAAATTCGCGCACGAAATTGGAAAATGCGTTTCGACACACATTGTGCGCACGAATTTTGTAAATGAGGCACCAAATTGTTCGCACATCCAAGAACAATTCGTCGACCCCACCAACACACAATTTTGGCAAGGGGACATTCAATACAATACAACCGCATTGCACCATCCGTTACCCTGCGACTCCAGCTCAGCTACACGAATCTCCCCAACCAGCCTACCTCAACTCTCTCATCGAGGACAAAACCCGAAGTCCCTCCCAACCCTAAACATTCTCACCAGTCACCTCGTTCATTCTCTCTCTCCAGTTCCCTCGATCACCTCACAGCTCTACGATGACGACCCCTACTGGCACTGGCACTCCCGCGAGTGCGTCTAGTGAGGTTCCTAGTGCCTTCTGACCGGAAAAAAGTTTTACCTGCCCGGGCAGCGTATTTTCCACGTATTCCTAAGTCACCCATTCAGCGCATCCCGTATTATGCGCAAGCGTATATACGCTTGCGTATAATACGCTGGGCGCGACTTTTCCAACATAGCTACCAGAGCACCCATATCGTTCACCCGCACCGCACTGCACCGCACACTCACTCACCCGTAGCCAAGAGGATCGTTGAGTTCGGAGAGGCCGAGCCCCTCCAGGGCGGACTTGGTGGCGGGCGCGTTGGTGAACTGTACTCCCTACCAGAGAGAGCACCCATACATATTACCGCACACCGCACTGCACTGCACGGCACGACTCACCCGTAGCCAAGGGGGTCATTGAGCTCAGAGAGGCCAAGCCCTTCGAGGGCGGACTTGGTGGCGGGCGCGTTGGTGGCGGACGCAAAGTCGCCCCTCAGCTCCCTCAGCTCGCGCACCTTGCGCACCAGCTGGGGAGGGAGTGGGGGGGAGAGGAGGGAAAGGTGGGAGAGGGAAGGGGTTGGAGGGGAGAGCATGAACGCAATGAGTGGCGGGCGCGGTGGTGGCAGACGCAAAGTCGCCCATCAGCTCCTGCAGCTCGTGCACCTTGTGCACCAGCCGGGGGGGAGGAGGCGGTAAATGCATGGGAAGTTGAGTTGACAGGAATGGCGCACACACAGAGCCTTGCATGGATTGAAACGCATACCTTATCTATGTCGTGAGCGGTAAACCACAGACTCAAATCATTGATGCATCCTGACCGTCCATCACTCACCACGTTCTCGTTGAATCACCACGTCCTCGTTGACTCACCACGTCCTCGTTGACTCACCACGTCCTCGTTGACCATGTTCCACTCCGTCGCATCCTCATCGTCCATCATGAAACCATCCGCGTTATAAATCGACATGCGCCGCGACGGCAAGCTGCGCAGAAACTTCCCTCCCTGCACAAGAGATGGGGGGCGAGGAGGGAGATACGCGGTGGACACAGTCTCGCAATTTCCAGTAACAGTTTCACAAACTTGGGGGGGAGGAGGGGGAACGCAGCACGGTCAACGACTGCAATCGGGACTGCAATTGCCCAATCGCAATCCCCTGTGGTCACCTTGGTGGGAGCCTCCTTTGGCTTATCTTCGTCGTCCGACGACCCCGCGCCGCCCTCGGCGTCCGAGTCTTCAGCCTCTGATTCATCATCGTCGTCGTCATCCTCCTCATCCTCCTCCTCCTCCCCCACGTCCCCATCCTGCGCTCCGCCCCGCCGCCCAATCCCCGTGCGCGCGCGAACAGCCGTCTGCGCGCGCGCAATGCGCTTCCCAACACCGCCCTTCGCCTTGGCGAAAACTTTCACGAGGTTCTTCGCCGCCTGCTGCGGCTGTGCGATTTTCGACGCCAGCGCGCCCGTCGCAGCTCGTCGCATGGAGCTCGTCGCATCCGAAGTTTCCGCGGACCTTCCGCTTCCCATCGTCGCTGCGCGCTTCGATCGGCCTTCGCCGGCGGAGAGGGACTGCGTGGCTCCGCGGGCGGCGGCAGCAGCGGCTGCGGCAGCGGCGGAAGCGGTGGACGATACTTTATGCGTGAGCGACGTGGTGCGGCCTCCTAAGCGCTCGGGCTCCTCGTCTTCCATGGCGGCGCGAGGCACTCGCAGAAAGACCTAAGCTTGGGGCGTAATGTCAGGAACCGAAACAGAACGCTAGCAGCAGGTGCTCGAGAAAGCGCCTAGAATCAAAGGTTCAAACCTAAGCTCGGAGCTCAGTGACCGTTGCTCCCGCGGGATAGGCGAAGGTTGCTCCAGCAGAAGCTATTTATGGATGACGGGATAAGACTGGTAATTTGCTACTGACAGCGACGAAATGCTGGCGGACATCAAAATGTGGGTGGGAGCGAGCATGTCAGTACTGGCGGTGATGCTGTTTTCCCCAGTCCAGTTCACTACCAGAGACGAAAATGCGCTCGCCACAGTCACCTCTCGGTCCCCCCCAACACCGATATTCCCGAGGCGTTACCACCAACCTTGAAATTAGATTCAACACTTTGCAGCATTGCTCTGTGAAATTTGCGTTTCTACGGAGTGTAGTACCTTCAGAAAACAGAGTAGTTCGTCACTCTCTGGCGAAACCTTGAAATTGGCTGCCATCTGACAAACACATCCCTGGCACTCGAGCACACCAACCTTTCACGACACTGAATCGCACTTGTGGGCTTCTGCCTGTATCCAATAGCTTGTAGTGAGCTCATCTGCAGGAGTTGCTCTGATTCTGCAAAAACTCTGCAGGCTGGACGTTAGTGGTGCTTTGTCATTGCGAAGGATTAGCGACTCCGAGGTCGCATCCTTATACCGTAGCATCCTAAACGTCTCACGCAGCGCATTTATTTCGTAGATCGTCGTTAACGTCACATGTTCGCATTCCCGTTCTCAGAGCATCAGTCTTATAGGTTCGCATTGACATCTTAAGAGCGTGTTCTGCGTCGTAACTGCACGCAGCGTCTCTCGGCATGTCGTCGCTCGTGCGCGCCGTGTCGCGAGGCGGCAAGCCGTCGGAGAAACGCTATTCGCTCCTAGACAGGCTCGCCGGACGAGATAAAGCGAGCCGCTTCGCCCGTAGCGGCTCGTCCGCCGCGCCTCGCGGAGCCGCATCACAGACCGCGTCTAGCCAGCAAGCGAGTAAGTTAGCTCGCGACGTGAAGGCAGATGACGACGACGACGACGATTCGGACGACGACGAGATTCTGAGCATCTCGTCCGACGAGGACGATGACCGCGGCCCGAGCGTCCCGGCGATGACGCCGCGCACGCCGGCGAAGGTGCAATCTCAGCCCCCTTTTTTTACGCGATTCCCTGGGCTACCTAAGCTTTCAGACTTCTTGACTTTCGCGAATCGCATGCCATTCTTGAGTTATTCATTCTTGTAACCCTTTGAAAATTTCGCCATGCGCTTCATAGCGTTCGACCTAAATTCGGAATCCACGTGTGCAGTGGGAATCGTCGCGCGCTCTAACGCGGATGGGGACGCGGCGGTACGGAGCCTTGGAGTCGGGTGATGGGGGAGAGCCCGCGTCGTGGGACCAAGTCGGCGAGGACGCGGTGAGTGGCGTGGCAGTGCGCTCAAGGCTCAGTGCATTCGGCCTTCTTCCTGACGGCTGCGATGCAGGAACTCGTGACTGGGCTGGCGGGTCACGTCGCTGGGATTGTGCAGCTTTGTAGCTCTGAGTGACTGTGTGGGAACAGCCACTGAGCTGTGCTTTCTGTTCCTGTCTAAACGAGCATCTTCCCCGTTCCCTCCTCTCCCTTGTTATTCATCTTCCACTCGATTTCCCACTCACTCTCCCATGCACCATATACACGCGCCTTGGAGAGGGCAGCTGATGAGGAAGGTGCGGGAGCTGAGAGCAGCGCTGGGCGGGCGGGCGAATGTGCGCTCGCAGGCAGTGACTCAGGGCAGCACGGACGAACCCCTCGGCTCCACCATCATGGACCCGCTCGGCCTGGGGTGAGTGGTCTGTCTCAGCATCAAGTCAAGACTCAAGAGGGTGTGCTTCCCTGTCATGCACGTCCAAGCTTCCCCATGCAAGTTTGAGAGGCCCCTTGCAGGCAGTGCCTTGACTTAGGGCCGCACGGACGAGCCCCTGGGGTCCACTATAATGGACCCACTCGGCCTGGGGTGAGTGCGCCGTGTGAATTCAAGGCTCAATGCCATGCCTGCTCTGTCATGGACCTTCATGCATCGCCGTCCGTTTTCATCCCCTGGAGAGGCTGCAAGAGTGCAGCAGGCAGTCCAGTCCAGTGGAGAATAATTCACCTGTCATGCGTCGCCAGGTGTTGGCTTACACTTCGTATACCATCCCTCCTTGCATCCTTCCCACGTGCTGCCTCCTTCCCCCCATTCATGTGCATCCTCGCTCCACCCGCTGCTGCCTGCCTTTTTCCCCATCCCGCCTGCTCTGACTTCCTCCCCTCTCTGCCTCTCTGCTCTGTTGCCGCTGATTGTTCATCTTCTGACCAATGTGCGTTCCTTCCTGTCTGCACATGTGCGTGTTGTGTTGTGTTGTGTTGGTGTGCGCGTGTGCCATGAGCCCTGCTGCGCCAGCCCACTGGACGTGGAGCACATGTGTCTGCAGAGCCGCTATGACAAGGGCAAGCCTGCGCCCGACCGTGCCATCCAGCCAGGTCAGTCAGCGACTGTCCTGTCCTTGATGCTTTCATTCCTGCTGGAGGGAATATCCAGGCAAATGTTGCAGCTTTCAGTAGAGAGTAAATGGCACGTCTCTCCGTGCATGCTGGCTGCGCGCATGGCGTGAGTTTGCATGTGCATACCATTATGTGGGTTTGTGTGTGCGTTCACGTGCTTACATGTGCTGACCTGGCGCATGGGTGTGTGCATGACAGGGCGTTGCTAGCTAGCTGCATGTCCATTGTGCGCAATCAATCCCTGGTCACGTGTGCATGCCATCCCTTTTCTTACCCCTCCCTGCAGAGATGCTGGTGAATCTGGACGAGGCGTTTGAGCCGATGCTGTACCTGAGGGTGGTGCACGGGGGCAGTGAGCAGAGCAGTGTTCAAATTCAACTCCCATGTGCGCTGCATGCCATCCCACCCCTTGCCTCTTGATGCATGCAGAGATGCTGGTGAATCTGGACGAGGCGTTTGAGCCGATGCTGTGCCTCACGGTGAACTGGTGGTGCATGGCGGCAGCGAGCAGTGTGGTGTTCAACTCGCATTTGCACTGCATGCCACCCCACCCCTCTTACCCTCACATGCAGAGATGCTGGTGAATCTGGACGAGGCGTTTGAGCCGATGCTGTACCTGACGGTGGTGCACGGGGGCAGCAGTGCGCGCGAGCTGGAGGAGGGGCGGGAGAAGCTGGGCGAGACGATGCAGCGCGAGAAGGAGCAGCTCAAGCGCCTCGTGCAGAACAACTTCGACTGCTTCATCTCCTGCAAAACCACCATCAACGGTGCGTGCTTCAGGGGTTTTGCAGAGCAGGTTAAGCAGGTTTATCACCACAGGAAAAGGCCGAGCAACAGTGTCAGGGAGGGCAGGTCTGACTCGTGGGGTTCTTTCATTGAACGTGGGTGACCTGCCTTGACTCTTTGAAGTAACTCACTTCAGCGATCAGGTGCGTCTATGGTTCGTCCATCGTGAATGCTCTCCATTCATCTCTCCTCATTTTTCGCTCCATCTGCACACCATGCTCATGCAGAGACCAAGTGTGGGCTGACATAAAAAAGGCGGGGCTGCTACACTCTCACCTCGCCCCTCTTTGCTCCCTCCCCCCGCCCCCACACCCACCACCCTCGTCCTCCCTGCGTCTGTATCTGGATCATGTGTGTGTGCTGCAGACATCGAGCGTGGGCTGGCGTCAATGAAGAGGGACTGTGCGTTGGACACGCTAGCAGCCGCCATATTCAACGTGGACCATCACTCCAAGACCGCCTTCGGCCCGCTGCTCGAACGCAGAGTGCGTGTGCATTGAATGAGCGCTTGCCTGCTGCCTCAAAGTGCGTCTGGGATGGGATGAATTATATGCCAGCTGCCGCTTTTGTGGTACCGTGTTGCTGGTTGTGCTGGTCGGATGGCTGGATGTCGTTTCAGGTTGGCCCTCCGCTCTTCCTGTGCTCCATTCCGTGTCCAGTTCCCATCCTTCCTCTTTGTCACTTTCCTCCTTCTTGCAACTTCCCGTCTCTTCTCTCGCCACCCACCCGCCCCACGCAAGCATAAGTGCAGCGCATGCAATTAGTGCAGGGTCTGCTGTTGCGCATGCTCCTATCCACTCCATACTCCCTTTTTCCTTCTTGCTCACTCCCCCACGCACCTACCCACCCCCCTAAGCCAGGCACAAGTGCAGCGCATCCAGTCAGTGCAGGGGCTGCTGCTGCTGAGCATGTTCCTATACTCCCTATTTCCCATCCTTGTTTCTCACTCCACCCATGCACCCACCTACCTGTTCCCCATCTCAGGCGCAAGTGCAGCGCATACAGTCAGTGCAGGGGCTGCTGCTGCGCTTCCGCACGCTCTTCAACATGCCATCCGCCATCCGCGCTCACCTGCGCAAGCACGAGTACGACAGCGCCGTGCATGAGTACCTCAAGGCCAAGTCCATCTCTCTAACCGGCCATGTGAGTTTCAAACCGATGAGTATGCCTCTCGCCTTCCATATGTGAGTCTCAGAATGAGGAACATGCTTCTTACGCCTCACCTGCGCAAGCACGAGTACAACAGCGCCGTGCATGAGTACCTCAAGGCCAAGTCCATCTCACTCACCGGCCATGTGAGTCCATCTCGCTCACCGGCCATGTGAGTCCATCTCTGTAACCGGCCATGTGAGTTTCAAAACCGGACATGCGTCTCACCTTTCTCACTCACCAGCCACGTGAGCCTCACTCCCCTTCGCCACCTGCGAGCAAAGCTACACATTTACTCACATCCCACATGCCCCCCCCCACCCCCTACTTTTCTTCACTCCAACCTTCTAACTTCTCCTTCTGTTGTTTCTGTGGGTCCTCCCTCTCTCTCCCTCTCCCATGCCTTGCCCTCTTTCCCCCTCCGCCACCCCTCACCGCACCCCCACCAGTCGAACATCCTACGGAGGGTGAACGAGGAGTTGGAGAAGGTGGTGGACGAGTTTAGTTGCATTCTGTACGCACAGATGAGCGACCACACTGGTTCCCCCACTCTCCTCCTCTGTTCCCCCTACCCACCCCCTCACCCCCCCACCAACCCCCTCACCTCTCGCCCCCACCAGTCGAACATCCTACGGAGGGTGAACAAGGAGGTGGAGAAGGTGGTGGGCGAGTTCAGCTCTCACCTATCTTCCCCTCGTCTCTTCCCCTTATACCCCTCGCCTTCTCTCCTCACCGCTCCCCCACCAGTCGAACATCCTGCGGAGGGTGAACGAGGAGGTGGAGAAGGTGGTTGATGAGTTCAGCCGTATCCTGTACGCGCAGATGAGCGACCCCAACGCTCCCCCCGCCACTGTGAGTGCACTTTTGTTTCAAACGGCAGTAGCAGGCGGTGAAACGCCTTGGTCAAATCGACCCATGTGGCAGTACGTGGGCATGCGATGTGGGCGCGTTGAATGCATGCTTCAATCTATCCGCATTCACCCTCTGTGAGTAGGTAGAGAACGCCATCCGGCTGTTGCTAGAAATCGACCCGGACAGTGACCCAGTGTGGCAGTACGTGGGCATGCGGGAGCGCTGACTCATGAATGAATCCTTTCCTGCCCTCTCCCTTCCTTGCCCAGGTAGAAAACGCCATTCGCCTGTTGTAAGAGGTCGACCCAAAGAGCGACCCCGTGTGGCAGTACGTGGGCATGCGGGAGCATTGACTCCTTGCCTTCGTTGCTGCTTTGTTCACCCTCCTTCCCGTGGCCAGGTAGAGAACGCCATCCGGCTGCTGCTAGAGATCGACCCGGACAGCGACCCGGTGTGGCAGTACGTGGGCATGCGGGAGCGGCGCATCCGAGGACTGCTGGAGGCGTGCGTGCAGCAGCATGAGCGCCGCGTGCAGGGCATCCGCCGGCGGAGGCAGGAGAAACGCGAGGAGGAGCACCAGTGGCGCCTGCTGCAGCGCAAACCCCATGAGAAGGTGCATGGGTGGGAGGGAGCAGAGGGGAAGAGTGTTGGCAAGGGAAATGACAGCAAAAGAGGGAAGGGCAGGGTGGGGAGCAGGAGGAGGAGGAGCACCAGTGGCGCGTGCTGCAGCGCAGCCCCATGAGAAGGTGGGCGGGTGGGAGCGGCGAGGGAAAGGGGTCGGTCTTAGCGGCTTTTCCTGAAAGGGGAGGTGTAGGAGCAGGAGGGGGCGACAGGCGCACTAACCTTCTCCATTCCCTCTTGTTGCTCTCCCCCTACTCCTCCCCTTATGCCCCTCTCTTGGCCCCTCAGTTGGAGCCGGGGCTGGCAGCATTTCTGAACGGGGAGGTGGAGGAGCAGGATGTGGTGACTAACGAGTGGGACTCGTTCCCTTTGGTTGCTCTCCCCTTTCTTGTTGTTCCTCTCAGCTGGAGCCGGGGCTGGCAGCGTTTTTGAACGGGGAAGTGGAGGAGCAGGAGGAGGCGGAGGATGTGTTGGATGGGGAGGAGGAGGAGGAGGTGCAGCAGCAGCACGCGCTGCTCGTGTGCCGCCTCGCCGCCGTGCTGCAGCAGCACCTGCCGCAGCTCTGGAAGGTCATGCTTGGTATCTTCACTGGCAAGTTCGCCAACTTCTCAAAAGAGACTCCGGTGCGTGTGTGTGAATGGATGGGTGTGTGGGTGGGTGGGTGCGAGTGGAGGGTTGTTTGGCGCCTCACAGCACAGGAGGTCATGCTGGGCATCTTCACTGGCAAGGCAAGTTTGCCAACTTCTCCAAGGAGACTCCGGTGGGTGCGAGAGGGTGGGTAGGTGGGTGGGTGGGGAGAATGAGCGACAAAGGGCTGGAGAGAGTAAGGACCCCTGCTGTGCTGTGCACACAGCTTGTACCACATCCTCTCATCCAGTCCCGCTCTTCTCGCCCTTCTCCCTGCCCTCTCCCCCCTCCCCACCTCCTGCCTCCGCCCCCACCAGGCAGCAGCAGCATACCCCTACGCAGGAGCATACGGAGCCAAGCCCCCGCTACCGCGCTCCAACTCGGGCCTCTCGAACCAATCCGGGGGCGGCGCATACCGCAAGCACACGCAGATGGAGGGGGTGGCGATGGTGATGGGCATCGTGGGCGTGTTTGAGGGCCATGTCACCGACGCCTTCACGGCCCTCGAGAGCACCCGCGAGCTGCGCCCCTACATGCTGCAGGCCGTCACGGCTGTTGCACAGGCCTCCTCCGCCTTCGCTTCGACTGAGGCGGCTCCTCCCTTAGCAGGTGTGTGCGTGTGTGGGGCCTCTTAGACAGGCAGGTGAGTGTCAGGCTCACGAGATTTGAGAGCACCCGCGAGCTGCGCCCCCACATGCTGCATGCCGTCACTGCTGTCGCTCGGGCGTCGTCTGCCTTTGCTGCTGCAGAGGCAGCACCTCCCCTGGCAGGTGAGTGCGTGTGTGGGGCCTCTCAGGCAAGCAGGTGAGTGCCAGGCTCACGAGATTCGAGAGCACCCGCGAGCTGCGCCCCTACATGCTGCAGGTCGTTACTGCTGCCGCCCAGGCGTCGTCCGCCTTTGCTGCGGCCGAGGCAGCTCCTCCCCTGGCAGGTGTGTATGTGTGTGTGGAGGGGGGGGCTCTCAGGCAGGCAGGTGAGTGTCAGGCTCACGGCACTGGAGAGCACCCACGAGCTGAGCCCCTACATCCTGCAGGTCGCCACGGCTGTTGCTCAGGTGTCGTCTGCCTCTGCTGCAGCTGGCAGGTGCGCGTGGGGCCCTGAAACAGGCGAGTGACTGTTACGGTTAGCTCACAGTGCTAGAGAGCAGCAGGGGCTGCGGCCGTACATGTGGCTGCCTGTCTCTGCCTCCCATCCACTCCCCCCTGCGCCTCCCTTGCAACCGGACAACACCCCTCTCTGTCTGTCCCTCTCCTCCCCTTCTGTCTTCCCTCCCTCCACAAACCCCCACCCCCAGTGCAAGCGCTGCACCAGTTGCGCATCACCATCACAGCCCGATTCGTGCGGCAGCTGTGCTTCATCATGCGCGGAGCAGCGGGGGACGTGGCGAGGCAGGAGGACTGGGTGCCGGCGCCCGCACACCTCACCAAGGGATCAGAATTTGATATCTCGCACTTCCCCGTGCGCTTTGGCGATACCGTGGGGGCCGCTTTGGACCAGATCACACAGTGAGTGACTTTTGAGGCGCTTCAAAAGGCAGGAGGACTGGGTGCCGGCGCCAGCACACCTCACCAAGGGATCCGAGTTTGATATCTCGCACTTCCCCGTGCGCTTTGGGGACACTGTGGGGGCTGCTCTGGACCAAATTACACAGTGATTCGGGGACAGGGGGCAAGGCATTACACCCACGGAAAGAGGTGGGACGTGGCGAGGCAGGAGGACTGGGTGCCGGCGCCAGCACACCTCACCAAGGGATCAGAGTTTGACATCTCGCACTTCCCCGTGCGCTTTGGCGATACCGTGGGGGCCGCTTTGGACCAAATTACACAGTGAGTGAAATTTGAGGGGCCTCAAAAGCCAGGGGGACTGGGTGCTGGTACCCGCTCACCTCACCAAGGGTCACCTCACCAAGGGTCACCTCACCAAGAGTCACCTCACCAAGGGTCACCTCACCAAGGGTCACCTCACCAAGGGTCACCTCACCAAGAGTCACCTCACCAAGGGCTCTGAGTTTGATATCTTGCTCTTCCCCGTGCGCTTTGGGGACACTGTGGGGGCCGCTTTGGACCGGATCACACAGTGAGTGCGGTTGGGGGCAAGGTGCCGGAAGTAATATTTGAGACTTCTCAACAGTCCGTACCCGCGCACCTCACCAAGGGCTCTGAGTTTGACATCTCGCTCTTCCCCGTGTGCTTTGGGGATACTGTGGGGGCTGCTCTGGACCAGATCACACAGTGAGTGCGGTTGGGGAGGCAAGGCACTGCACCCACGGTAAGGGGTTGGTCGGACGTGGGAAGTCTCGTGGTTAAAAGGGCTCCGCGTGGCATGTTGCACCTTCTGTCAAAGTGCCCTTTGGGGAGTTCCTTTTATAACACTCTCCGTTTCTCTCCCTCTCTTTCTGCCCCTGCATCAACGCAGGGCCCTGGCGCAGCTGTCAAAGGACGGCTGCAGCATCCCCGTGGCAAGCGGGTCAGGTGTCTCAGCTCTAACATTCCCCCTCTCCCTCCCTCTCCCTCCGCCCTTCCTTCAATGCAGGGCTCTAGCACAGCTGTCAAAGGACGGCCTCAGCATCCCCGTGGCAAGCGGGTCGGATGCAGCAGCAGCGCAGGCAGTGGCAGCGGCGGAGGTGTGGCGGATGTATGCGTCGGTCAAGACCACCTTCTACGAGTCCTTTGTCGATGCATGCGGTGAGTTGAGTTGGGAGTTGGGACTCATCCGTATTCGACTCTCCTAAGCTTGCATCAACTCGCAAGGCAGAGGAGGTTGTGGCGGATGTATGCTTCGGTGAAGACCACCTTCTACGAGTCCTTTGTCGATGCATGCGGTGAGTTGAGTTGGGAGTTGGGACTCATCCGTATTCGACTCTCCTAAGCTTGCATCAACTCGCAAGGCAGAGGAGGTTGTGGCGGATATATGCGTCGGTGAAGACCACCTTCTACGAGTCCTTTGTCGATGCATGCGGTGAGTTGAGTTGGGAGTTGGGACTCATCCGTATTCGACTCTCCTAAGCTTGCATCAACTCGCAAGGCAGAGGAGGTTGTGGCGGATGTATGCGTCGGTCAAGACCACCTTCTACGAGTCCTTTGTCGATGCATGCGGTGAGTTGAGTTGGGAGTTGGGACTCATCCGTATTCGACTCTCCTAAGCTTGCATCAACTCGCAAGGCAGAGGAGGTTGTGGCAGATGTATGCGTCGGTCAAGACCACCTTCTACGAGTCCTTTGTCGATGCTTGCGGTGAGTCTTGCTGGCGTTAGATTGTGCTATCCTCTCATGACCTTTGCATCAGCTCTCAAGGGAGCGGAGGTGTGGCGGATGTATGCGTCGGTCAAGACCACCTTCTACGAGTCCTTTGTCGATGCATGTGGTGCGTTGACCTGACATTCGTTTGAATTCGTCTCCCATAAGCTTTGCATTGGCTCACGAGGCAGCAGAGGTATGGAGGATGCTCACGAGGCCCTCTACATGTGGTCATGTGTCGATGCATGTGGTGCGTTGTGGTGAGTTGTGGGCAACCATACAGATCCGCCCCCACAGGGCATCACTGTCCCCCACTCACCCTCACTCTCCGCACTCTCCCTCCCCTCTCCCATCCCCTCCCCTCCCCTCCCTTCTCCCCTCCCCTCCCCTCCCCTCCCCTCCCCTCCCCTCTCCCTTCCCCGCCCCCCCCTCCAGAGGCGCTGGGGCAGATGGCAAAGCAGCTGCCAGACGGATCCACTCCCCCGGAGGGGGAGGAGGGGGCGGAGGGCGGGGAGGAGGGGGGGAGGCGGGGGGAGGGGCGCCGCAGTTTGAGGGGCTACAGCAGGGCGTGGAGGTGGGCAACCCCCATCAGCGCATCCTCATGCTCCTCAGCAACGCCGGCTTCTGCCGATCTGTCGTTGCTCGTGACCTCGCCCAGCGCTACCAGCACCTCTGGAACGACCCCAGGTAATGAGCGGTGGAGTGCGGTGAGGGGGAAAAAGGGGGGGCTGGGTGCAGTTTGAGGGGCTACAGCAGGGCGTGGAGGTGGGCAACCCCCATCAGCGCATCCTCATGCTCCTCAGCAATGCCGGCTTCTGCCGCTCTGTCGTTGCTCGTGACCTCGCCCAGTGCTACCAGCACCTCTGGAACGACCCCAGGTGCTGAGCGCAGGGGTCGGATGGGTTGGACTAGGGTGGGATGGGGTTAGGTGGAGTGAGGAGGACAGGGGTGAGTGCGTGGACTGGGGTGGCAGAGGACAGGAAACAAGGGCTGTTAGCACCTGTGGGGAACTTTCCGACCAAGTCGTAACGTTTTCTTCAAGGAGAGCCGCTCTTGCCTTCTTCCCTCATGTGTCTACTTCCTCCCCTCTTCCTTCACTTCCTCGGCTTCCACCCCACCGCTTCCACCCCTCCACTTTCCCCCTTCCCCTTCCTCCACCCTGCTTCTCTTCTCCTCCTCCTCCTCCCTGGCTCGTCAGTGCCGCGGCCCCAGCAGCCTCTCGTCCAGGGTACACCCCACCCGCACTAAGCGAGGTGGAGCAGCTGCTGGCAGACGTGGAGCGCGTGTTTGTGGAGGCGGAGACAGCGGTGGGCGACCAGTACATAGCGGCCAAGGCGCAGCACCTGGGCATGGCCGTCATCCGCTACTTCCAAGAGGACGGCACCAACTGGGCTACTGCTCCCCCCGTCAAGGTGAGACGGCACCAACTGGGCTGCTGCTCCCCCCGTCAAGGTGAGGAGTTTCATTTCAAGCTTTGAGCCACTGATACGTGCGCTTTGAGCGCACTGTACTCAAGCTTTTAGCACCGTGCTGGCATGCCCTGCTGCTGTAGCTGCAGCTTGCGTCTGCGGCATGTGCATGTGCATGTGCATGTGCTCGCTGCTGTACCGCTTCCCACCACCGTGCCTGCATGCATCCGTGCAGCCCACTGGGCTCTGTTGTTAAATCCACCGTGGCATGTGATGATTGGCACATAGTGGCATGGGTGGGCATGCATGCATGCACGTGTGCAAGTGGGGTACAGGTGATGGGAGGGGGGCGTCGTGTCATCATGCCATGGATGTATCCGTCCATTCCACTGCTGGAGCCGTGTGTGTGCAGGGTCTGCGGGACTCAGCCCTGGATCTCATCCTGCCCCTCGTCGCTGTGCATGCTGAGGTAAGCCCACCTTCCCATCACCCTCTGCTGCCCTGCCACCCATCAATCCTCCGCTTCCTCCTCCCTCTCCCACCTTCCCATGACCCTGTGCTGCAGCTCATCATTACTCCTCTTTCTTACGGCCTCAAGACGCCCTTTCATCATCCCTTCCCACTCCGCTCGCTCCATGTGCCCGTGCGTGCAGGTGTCAGCGGGGTGCAGTCCATTCGTGGACCGCGCGATCAACACGGTAGCAGAAGGCTTGATGGGCGCGCTGCACCAGGTGGCCTTTCAGCTCAAGCTGGCTTTAAAGTCGACGCACAATCCACCCCTCACACACACCCGTGCGTGCAGGTATCAGCGGGGTGCAGTCCATTCGTGGACCGCGCGATCAACACATTAGCGGAGGGCCTGATGGACGCGCTGCACCAGGTGGCCTTTCAGCATGAAGACCTTGAACAGCTCGACGCCAACGCCTTCTGCCAACTCTCCCTTGAGGTCCGCCTCTGCTGCCTTGCCTGCTGTGTGCTTGCCCCGCCACTCCTCTCACACACTCCCTCTTCCACCCACCCACCTGCTTGGACTCACTGCCAATGGCATTGAACCCTCGTTACTAGCACATCCTTCCGTAGCACATCTTTCGTCCCCGTCCTCCCCTTCAGCTGGACTACTTGCAGGCTGCAGCCCTTCGCTTCCCCCTCTCTGATCGACATCACCTTTAGCTTCTCTCCTCCTCGCCGCCCTCCCCCCTCTCTCCCTCTCCTTCCATCTCCCCCACCCCCGTCCTCCCTATGCAGCTGGACTACTTCCAAGCGGTGCTACAGCCGTTCGCATCCCCCTCACTGGTCGACATACTATTCCAGCTGCGCGACGTGCTGCTGCACCTCCAGTCTCCATCTTTTCTCTTCCATCTCCTCCCCTCTTCCCCCCCATCCTTCCCCACCCTCGTCCTCCCTATGCAGCTGGACTATTTCCAAGCGGTGCTACAGCCGTTCGCATCGCCAGCACTGGACGACATAATATTCCAGCTGCGAGACATGCTGCTGCACCGCACCATGCAATCCATCGCTGCCACCGGCCCGCCGCCCGACGACCGCCCCAGCTACGAGCGCCAGCTGTCGCGGGGCGGTGGGATGCGGTCGGGGGAGTGGGGCGAGGAGAGGGACATCCCCACGCCGCAGACACCTGAGCAACTCAAGGTAAGCTCCTTCTTGTAATGGTAGGTCTTTGAAACCTGTATGTTATTTTTGTTGCCAGAAGATGTCAGTGGATCGTGATTGTTCAGCTCAAGCTCTGTGCTCCGTTCTTTAATTGCTGTGCACCAATCAGGGCATAGCGGACAGCCTGTCAGCGGACCTGCTCCCAGGGGAGCTGAGGCGCACGCGCGTGAACGTCTTCTGCTTCGGCCTGCGCCTGCCCGACGACCCCTTGCTCTCCTCCTCCTCAGGCGCCTACGACAATGCCTCCACCATCCATGGCGCGCAGTCCACCATCTCCTCCTCCTCCGGCTCCAGTGCCACGCGCGCCTACTCCGCCGTTCTCCCCGTGCCTGATACCTCTGCTGCCCTTGCTGCCCGGGCTAGAGCTGCTGGTGCTGCCTCTGTCACTGCTGCTGCGGCTGCTGTTGGGGAGGGGTACAGGGCGGGAGCAGCAGCGGCTGCTGCTGCTGGTGCCGGTGGCGGGGTGGGGCCAGGGGTTGGGGGGACACCGAGGACAGCTGGGCTGAGAGGGTCGTATGAAGGGGCAGGGTATGGGGGAGGAGCAGGGGGAGGGAGAGGGGCGTATGGAGCAGCAGGAGGAGGAGGTGCAGGAGCAGCAGGGGCAGGGATGTATGGGGGAGCAACAGGGGGGGTAGCAGGGGCGTATGGGGGAGGAGCAGGGGGAGCAGGTGGGGCATACGGGGGGGCGGGAGGGGCAGCGGCAGCACCATATGGGGGAGCAGCAGTGCCCGGGTCTGCTGCTAGGGCTCTGGACAGGAGAGGGCAGCCGGGGGCACGCGGCTATGGTGGCGGCTACTGAGGCTGTTTGGGGGGTACAAAGTGTTTTGCCTTTGGTGTTAAGGGTTTTGGTGCTCTTTCCAGTGGAAGTGGTTATTATCTTTCTAAAAAATGTATGGTGATGTGCTATTTGGTCAGTTTATCCATTCCAGGTGATGTCAACGATTTCTTATTGTGCTTTGATGTCTTTCACCTCTAAGTGACTATTTCATTCAGCGAGTATCCAGTTTCACACGTGGTGCTGCTTATGCGAGTACAAAAAGCGGTTCCCGGCGTTATCTATGCCTGGCAATTCCATGTGGTCGGTTGCCAGAACATAATGAAATTGGCGGGAACTCCAATGTCTCTCAAGGCCAGAAACATTCGCGAATCGCGACCCGTTTGCTGCCCTTGGCGTGGGCCCGCGTGGCTCTGTACAGAGCTGGGGACTGGGCGCGACGATCATCCCAAGGGAGGTCAGAGCTTGCGGATTCCTAATGGCTTATCATAACCGACACTGAGAGTCGATAACTGGGGAAATGGCTCGCAGTGACAAACAGCACCATTTCATTCCACATCCGAGAAGATCGTCTCTCATTCGGGACACGAATGCTGTTTATCAGTGACTTCCACTTTCCTCTAACAGCGCTTCGCGTCCTCCGTGTTCCATCTCCGTGCTGCTCCCCAGGTTTCAAGCACCAACTATCCGGTCACGCACTACTAGTTTAGGACGGATGAGAGAGGGGCGAATAGAAAGCCAATTATAGCACAGAATCTGTGGGTCTGAACAGGCTAACATCGTATTTTTTTACTGTTTATCATGAAGCCTTACCTATGTTGACAATATTCTCTCTATTCATCCAGACTCCACTTGGAGCATCATGTCGTCGCATACTAAGCTTTTCAAGATTTTCTCTGCGTTATCGGACCGATCAGTAACGAGACGGAGCAGAGTAGAAACAGGTAATTTGTTCTGCACTCCCGAGGGCACTAGATGGCGAAATTGTCGCAGTAACCGACAGATTTTCCCCGTTCGATTAATGAGATCGTTCTGCAAAGAGCCGCTTAGGAACGAAAACGACCGTGACAGAAGGCGTCAGCGGCGTGCCGTCCCACGACGCGGTATATTGGAAAATCTTCTCGTCGCGTCCGTCCTTCTTCTCCTCCTCGCTTCGCCCCGCACGAATGGCTCCAGACTAACACCGCGTTGCTCAGCTTGCGAGTCTGCGCGTCCTAGGGGCCTTAATGCCGCCATGTCCGCCGCAACTTCCGGCAGCATCCTCGCATGGTCGCCGGCGCCGGCTCCAGGAGAGAGCGATACGCATGAGCACGAGTCACGTCAGACGCCCGGGATAAGGAGCGTCAAATGGCAGGGTCTTCAAGCGAGGGCGCTTCAGGCGCTAGCTGCCGCGGAGATTAAGAAGGCCAAGGCCGCGGAGAAGCGCAAGAAAGCGGAAGCCGTGGCGAAGCGCAAAGCGGCGAGGGCCGCCGCGAAGCGCAAGAGAGCGGAGGTTGCGGCGAAGCGCAAAACGGCGAGGGCTGTTGTGAAAGCGAAAGCGGTGAAGGCTGGTGTGAAAGGCAAGCCGGGGAAGGCACCCGGAGTGCTTGACTGCGTCTTGCCGAATCAGGTAGATCTGGGCTCGTGGTTATCGGTGGGTCGTGGGGTAGTAGGGTTGTGGGGCGGTGCGGGCGTGTGGCGGTGGGGTTGATGTGCGCGAGGGTGTGAGGCAGTGCGGAAGAGCGAGAGGAAGTAAAGGAGAGCTCAAGGCGGGGGGCATGGCGCGTGAGGCGGTGGCATGTTGGAGGGCGATCGGCTCGACTCAGGGAGCCCGGGCGAGCGGGAGATTGGAGGGCAGTGCGGGGCGACCGTAGAGAGGGGGGCGTAGGGGGTGGGGGGGGAACTTGATGGCCCCGCGTGGCTGGGCTGGAACCGCCAAGCAGGAGAAGGGGGCTTGCAGTTCCGCATGTTCGCTCAGGGCGCGAGAGAGGGAGATGGGGGAAGGGGGGGGGGGGGAAGGAAGGGGGAAAGCGGGAGAGTCGAAAGGAGGGAGCTCCTGGGTCTTAAAAACGTGTGAATCGCGAGTAACGTGGTTATATCCCCATTCTCCGTGCATGCTCTCAAACCAACCTCCTCGTACTCCCTGCATCATTTGGTCCATCGCACATGCACGCCATGCCACGCCATCCCACGCTATGCCCCCATGCTGCCATGCCCCCATGCCGCCATGCCACGATGCCCCCATGCCCTTATGCCCCCATGCCGCCATGACTCCATACCACCATGCCATCATGCCCCCGTACCCCCATGCCGCCATGGCAGGAGTGCGACTTCGCGTTCAACGGGTCGCTGGCGCTCGTGCCGTTCTACCTGCTGCTCACCATGCGCCCCTCGCAGCCCTTCTCCGACTCGCTGCTCTTCTACAAGTGAGCCTCTTTCTCCTAGTATGCTTTATCTCCCAATAAGCGATTTTCCCAAGTAAACACCCATTCAGGTCCCACTCTCGTTTCCCCCGCCTGTTCATCACATCTCGCTCCCAGTCGTCTCATCTCGCCCCTCATTCGTATCACATGGCTCCCCTTCGTCTAATCTCGCTCTGCATCTAGTTTCCCCCACCCTCACCCCATTCATTTCATTTTGCCTCCAACCCTTTCCTCCGGGTGCTGGTGGTGGTGGCAGTGCGTCAACGAGGACGACAGCACCCGTGATAGGCGGCACGCTCAAGCACAAATGCAGGACAGTACGAGTATGCCTCTTCCTCCCAACTCCCTCATTCTCGATTCACCACTCAGAATCTTCTTTCATTATTCCCAGCGCTTCCCCTTGCCGTTTCCTGCCCCTCTCACCCCCTTCTCTCACTCTTCCCCCTTCGTCTCTGCACACTCTCCCCCCATCCACCCTCTCTCCATCCTCCCTTCTCCCTTCAGTCTGCTTTCACCTTCTCCCCCTCTTCCGCTCCCCTACTAGTCCCCTACTAGTCCCACGACTTTTACTACCCAGCTCTGTGTTTCCTTCTCCATCCTTCTCCATTCCTCTGTAACAAGAAGCATTGCGATTGCCTGACCACCCCTGCCTGCACGGCACTACTACTTCATCCCATCCCGCCAGGGGGAGCGCCACGCGTGTCCATCGTTTGACATGGTCAACAGTGCCGGCATGAAGCTCGTCGTGCGAGGCGCATCCCCCAAAAAAGTATGCCACCACCCAGATGCCTCCCTGCCCGTTTCTCCCCACATTGTGCTCTCTCATGATCATGCACCCCTGAGAACAGTGCAGCAGTTCCTGTATCACTCATCTCTGTTGTTCGTCCAGCCTCCTTCCGCAGCAGTACCCGGCGCCGTTGTGGTTCTCATGGTATGCGAAAATCTGCTTATGAATGCAACTGAATCACCGCCTCTCTTGTCCTCTGTGCCGTGCCGTGTGCGTGGGCAGCAGCAGTACTCGGGCACGTGTTTCATAGTGGAGTTTGAGTCGCTGCTCATCAAGACATGCGGCGATCTGCTCATAATTCTGTGTGAATCGCTTGTCTCTCTTGTCCTCTGTGCCGTGTCGTGTGTGGGCAGCAGCAGTACTCGGGCACGTGTTTCATAGTGGAGTTTGAGTCGCTGCTCATCAAGATGGGGCTGGGCCGCAACAACATCGCCAAGCTCACCACCCGCGATGACAACCCGCAGTTCCCAGAGGTGCGTGTGGCCCTGGGCTCTCTACCTGCCACGTTGCCCCTCTACCTGCCCCTTTACCTGCCACGTGGCCTCTACCTGCCCCTTTACCTGCCACGTGGCCCCTCTACCTGCCCCTTTACCTGTCACGTGGCCTCTACCTGCCCCTTTACCTGCCACGTGGGCTCCCTACCTGCCCGGCGCCACCTGCCGCTCCACCTGCCATGTGGGCTCACTATCTGGCTTGTTGATCCATCTGCCACTTGAGTCGCCATCTACCATGTTCTGCCAGTGGCATTTGTTGTCATGTGTGCGGTTTAATTGACAGGCATGGTGTGTGCGTGTGCGTCTCACGTGTGCTCTGTCCTTGCGTGCTGCAGAATCGGAGGTGTGCAGTCTTCCGGGTGGTGTGAGACCAGTGGAGCGCCTTATGGGCGACTCATTTCTCGGCTTATGATACTCCACGCCTCCTTGTACACGCTTCTGCCTCTCTTAGGCTGCTGCTCAGCCAGTGTTGTACAGATCTTGCTGCAATGAAAAAGCTCTTATTATCAGGAACTGTGTTGAGGGGCAGGGGAAGAACTGGGGGCAGTAACAAGCCTGGTGGGCCAGTGGGAGAGGCAGTGTTGTTTCACTGTGCCACTGGCTGTCCCACCTGTTTCTGCAGTGTGGGTACAGGCCTTCCATTCAGTGACCGGTTTTACAGGGTTTGCAAGAGAAGTTCAGGTGAGCGACTTGCAGGTGCGAGAGACATGCCAGTTCAAGTGTGCTATGGAAAAGCCGTGGCACAGGTAGGAGAGGCTGTGACCCGATGCAGCCACGGACCAATAGTGGGACCATGTCATGTACATTGTACAACCAAATAGGGTACTTCCAGGCTGGGAGCCCCAGCCATGGCCCACATAGTGTGCTGTGCCGCCGGGTGCAAGTGCATGGAGTGCAGGTGATGTGACAGCTCCCCCGCCACCCAGTGCTGCTCTGTAACACTCCTGGTATTGTCAAACCAATGCTTCTGCTGTATCTCCAGCGCATTTTGCTGGTATCCGTTACACATGCTCCTGTGCGGGTTGGAGGCGCATGCAGTGCAAGTGGTGCGACAGCTCCCCCACCACCCAGTACTTCTCCGCATCACTCAGGGTCGTGCCAAATCTGTAGTCCTGCTGTTGCTCCGCAAACACACACACCAGATTTGGCTCCTTAGCCACTGGTCGATGCCCTGCCCCGTGCATTGGCGGGGGTGACAGCGGCTGTGGCAAATTCAAGTCCTGCACCAGAATGGCTTGCAGCCTTGCCGTGCTGCCACGCTGCTCCGTGACCCTGTCTGGGAGCGCGACGGTGATGCTGAAGAGGTGCGGCGACAGCAGAATGGTTTCGCAGCGAGCTGCGGCTCTGAAGCGAGCACCAATCAGGCTGAGATGGGCGGGCGGATAGAGAGCAGCACGGGCATGGAACTTGGAAGGTGGGAGGAAGAGGGAGAGGGGAGTGGGAATGGGATGTGAAAAGCTGGGAGCTGAAGTTTGGAAAAGTGGACGTTTGAACTACGGCTTGTAGTGATGGGCTTGCATACCAAGTGGCTCTGCATGTGGCATCATATGCCAGTGTGATATGCTACCCCTACAGCGTTGCCAGAGGCAGTCTGAAAGGGTCTCAGAGCTTGAGGTACCCACCAGGGGAAGATGCATATTGCGATGGGTAAAGCGATCATGACTGGTATTGCGACCACAATCTGTGAGGGCGGGGGAAGAGAGTTGAGAGGGCAGGCAGGGAAGTGGGGTGATGGATGGGTGGGGAAGAGGAGCGAGCAGGTGGGAAGGGGGGAGCTCGGCTGAAAAGAAATGCGAGGGGAGGGGCTTGCATGGGAGGACAGTGAATGACGAGCAGATCTATTTAGTACGAGGAGAACGAGCAGAGATTCTCTCTAGAAAGAAAGTGGGGGAATTAGGTAACTAAGAAATGGGTGAGGGGATGGGTTCACTGAAGGAGGAGTGAGGGCATGGGCTCACTATAAGGAGAGTGAGGAGCCAGAAGGAGAGTGAGGAGCCAGAAGGAGAGTGAGGAGCCAGAAGGAGAGTGAGGAGCCAGAAGGAGAGTGAGGAGCCAGAAGGAGAGTGAGGAGCCAGACGGAGAGTGAGGAGCCAGACGGAGAGTGAGGGTATGGTCTCACCAGAAGGAGAGTGAGGAGCCAGAAGGAGCATCCACCTTCCCCAGGTATTCGCACCTCCAGCGCCCCACCCTCCACCCGTGATATCACCTGGGGGAGGGGCGGAACCAGGTAGGGGGAGTTTAGTGCCGTGCCACGTCAGACGTGAAGTGCCGTGCCACCAACACGGGGGCGTGGTGCGCTGATGATAAGAAGCAGGCCTTCAGAGTTCCAACCAAAGAGTGTTGCTACGTGAAAACCGACAGGCGAAGTGGGCAATGCGGAGGGGAGAGGGAAATACAGAGATTTTTTAACAAGTTCCCCAGCCTAACAGCGCGCACTAAAATCCATATTAGGGCTATTGACACTGCTGAAGGCGCGTACCACGCGGCTATTCTCGGGTTTGGCGCAACGAGCAGGCCACGGCGACGCCACGGGAGTGCCCATCACGGCGACTGGCGGAGCAGATTGGGGGTGAGGCGGAAGGTATTGGGGGAGAGGCGGAACGTATTGGGGGAGAGGCGGGACGTATTGTAGGAGAGGCGGAACAGGCTGCGGAGGGAAAGCGGCTGCGGGGACGGCAGATGGGGCATCAGCGGCGCTTATCGGAAGCGCAGGCTCCGGTTCGGCTCGTTCAAGCGTTCTAGCCGCCGCCTCTTGCGGCTTTTCTTGCGCCGTGCTCCCCTGGTTAGTTGTCATTGCGGCTCTTATTATCGCCCTACTAGCGGCCTGGTCGGCGCGGTCGCACTGCCTTCAGTGGTGGGAGAAACCGGATGACGTCCTACACGATGTTAGCTCTGAGATGGTGGCGGCGAGGTGTGGGAAAACCGTGATTTGTTGTTGTGGCTGCGCTGGCGGCCTCTGTACATCCACAGCGGTCTTGTCGTTTTCGGGTGAACCAACGGTTGGTGGGGTGAGCGGGAGATGAGCGGGACGGAGGGGGTTGGGGCGGGCGGGATGCCTTTTCCGCCACTTCCCACGTTCTCGCGGAAAACACATGGAGCGCGCGCGCGGCAGTTGGCATCGCATCACTTGCAACGTATCCCCACCGTTGACCACAGCGACCGGACTGGGGGAGACATTTCAGAAATCGATGGGCCTGTTCCGATATTGCGAAGAAGTACGGTGAAAGAGGTTTCTAACTACGTACATACTGTAACTTACATCTTTTGTATCTCAACACAACAAATAACCGTATCTTTACCTAAGCATGCACACTCAAAAACGCGAACAAACATGACACTCATATGAAATAACATCTCATAATGATTTCATATCCATATCCATCCACAAAAATATCAAGGCTTACCAAAATTTCGTAGCGTCGTCTATTGTGGAGTTTGGTTGCTGCTATCAAGGTGTGGTTAGGCTGCAAAAACATACCGAATGTCAATCTCCGAATGACAACCTGCAGATTGAGAAAGCTTGCTTTCTGTTCCTTGTAATTTGGCATCGTTCTCATTGCAACTGGCCTCAGGGTCCGTGCTAGGATTTGGGGCACCCTGAGGCCTCAGGGCACCTTTCCAGAATCGTAAAAAATGCCCTGATTTGTCAGGGCAAATTTTCGAAGCCTTCCTGTATGTTCAGGGCTTTTTCAGAAATCAATCTTGACCTGTCAGGGCAAAAAAACAAGTGTTTAGGGTTCAGATTGGTTGGTTGACAAAGTTAAAGTTGAGATATATATAAACCTGCACGTGGGTGGGTTCGATCCCAAGACCTCATCCATCGGAAATACCTTTCTGCTGACCAGGCCACTTCTTGGTGGTTGGGTGGTTGAATGAATGCTATACGACGGGTAGCCTACGGAGACAAAAATCCCCTAACGCGACCCCCCCCCCCCCCCTCTTAACAAGAAACGCATCAGGGCAGGCCTCGGCATTCATCCTGACGCTACAGGGAAGAACACTACAGCCATTCTGAATGTTCATGGCATTTCATATAACAACATCCTGAGACCTCAGGGTTAAAATTTACACTATTCTGAAATGACAGGGTAAATTAAAAACTGCATCCTGAATTCAGGGTAATCAGGATGTTTTGCCCTGATAACGTGGGGCCTGACTGGCCTATTACAACATTGCATCGTTCTAAAACACATGCAAGTACATACTGAACTATACTAGCTATGGAGCCAACCGTCCAAGTGACTGTAGTACGAAAGATAGCCCTGGGGTGGGTGGTGGGAATGTTGATAGAGCCGTTGAAAATAGAGAAACGTGGGTGGAGGGAAATGAACTCCAACCCACGGTTTTTGTAGTTGGAGAAGGGCGTTTAGCACGCTTCGACGTTGCCAAATATTCGGTACAGGCAGCTTCGCTTTCACAATACACAATTTTGAAAAACACGAATGTGTTTAAAAATTATAAAATTTAGGAGGTGTGCGCATGCGCTTGTGGGCTCACTATCTGCCAAACTCTGCCAGCAGTTGTCGTGTCATGGTGGCTTGCACGGTATCAGAGACTATTGAGCTGCTGCTTGGCAGTGAGGGATGCGCGGCAGTTAGCAGGTGCACTTATTGCCTGCATGGGCGGGATGGGAAGCCCTCCTCCTGCGCGTGTTGGTGAAGTCTATTGCTGCTCAGAGGCTGCTGGCACCAGCATTGTCTTGGTGATGCAGGGATCTGCACTCCACGTAGTGCACTCTATACCAGTAAGGCCCAACCGTGCTGGTTGTGAGCAGATGTGTGGCCATCAGCAGCATGGGACTCTCCTGCTGGTGGGCCAAAGCACAGAATGCAGTGCATGGTGCACTGGGTGCATGCACGCGCATGGAGTGCAGGTCAGGTGGTGCGATAGCTCACCCACCACCCAGTGCTTCTGTTAGTGGCTCAGGGTCTCACCCAACCGAGACTCCTGCTGCTGCACCTCCAGCATAAATTGCCATCCGTGAGTCAAACAGCCTGCCGTGCCGGGTGCATGCGCATTTCCTGCAAGTGGTGCGACAGCTCACCCACCACCCAGTACTTCTCCGCATCATTCAGAGTCGTGCCAAATTGGTAATCCTGCTGCTGCTCCACAAACACACACACCAGATTTGGCTCCTTAGCCACTGGTTGATACTTTGCCTCATGCATTGCGGGGGGTGGCATCAGGTGTGGCGAATTCAAGTGTTGCACCTCGATGGCTTGTAACTGTGATGTGTTGCCGCACTGCTCAGTGACCTTGTTTGGCCACCTGATGATGATGCTGAAGCGATCCGGTGACAGCACAATGGTTTCGGAATGAATAGCAGGTCTGACGCTGAGACACGTGCGCCGAGAGCGGCATAGGAATGGAAGATGGTGTTAATATAGGAGTGGTAGCCATGGCTAGGAAGATAGGTTGAAGAAAATTGATTAGGAAAAAGTGTCGAGAGACAAAAGTAGGAAACCCTAATTGAACTTAGGGTGTGTTCAGTTTGTGCTAGAAACTATTAAATGAACCTAAACTGAACCGGAGGTGTAACTCGCTCTAAGCATGGTGAAATAACAAAGGAACACCATGATAAATGCCAGAGCGAGCACTAGCCTACTCCAACACACCCCCAGGCTAGGCGAAGCTCTGGAGCAAAACACCTAGTGAATTGGCACACCCCCAGAAGTAGAGAGACGCGTGAGCCCAAGCTCGCGCACATAGAAACGGTGTGGCGCACGTAGGAGGGCCTTGGTGAAAATATCAGCAAGGTTGGCAGTAGCGTCCACCTTGCGAAGCCGTAAGAAGCCAGATTGCACCAGCTCGCGCACGAAGAAGTAGCGGACCTCGATGTGTTTGCTGCGAGCGTGATAGACAAGATTTTCAGTGAGGTGAATCATGCTCGCACTGTCACAGGAGAGCGTCACAGAGGGCTGAGAGTGACCAAGTTCAGCAAGGAGAAACGAGAGCCAGCGAGCCTCCTGAGCCGCCAATGTGCCTGCATACAATTCAGCCTCGCAGGTGGAAAGACAGACAGAGGATGAACGAGTAGAGCGCCAGCTGATGAGGCCACTGCCAAGAGTGAAACCATAACCCTGGGAGGAGCGGCGATCAGGGCGAGAATCAGCATAGGAGGAATCACTGTAACCGGAAAGAACGGGGGGGGAAGAGCCACCAAGAGTGAGTGCAAGATCAGAGGTAGCGCGGAGATAGCGGAGAACACGCTTGGCAGCCGCCCAGTGCACGTCAGTGTGGCGACCAAGGCCAACAAAACGAGAGAGAACACTGAGGGGGTAAGCAAGATCGGGGCGAGTGCACATCATAGCATACATGAGGGACCCAACGAGCTCAGGATAAGGTCGCAGTTCTGAGGAGGGAGCGGGAACAGCAGGGGCGGTAAGCTGATGGTTAGCGGGAAGAGGAGTGGAAACAGGCTTCGCTTGCGACATTTCAAAACGCTCAAGAATGGAGTGGATGTAGAAGGATTGAGAGAGAGAGATGGTGCGGGCAGCACGATTACGACGGATCTCCATGCCGAGGTAATGACGAAGCTCGCCAAGATCCTTGCACAGGAGACGCGCCTGGAGGGCCTGCTTGACAGCGGCAAGGTCGGCAGAATCTTCAGCGAGGAGCACCAAGTCATCGACGTATGCAAGAATGTAAAGCCTGTGGGGGGAGGTGCGAATGAAGAGACTGGGGTCGGAAGAAGAGGTAGAGAAGCCAAGAGAGTGAAGAGTGGAGGCGAGCTTAGCGTGCCACTCGCGGGGGGCTTGTTTAAGACCATAGACTGGGCGCTTCAGCTCCCAGACAGTGCCTGGAGGGAACGGGCGAGGGAAGCCAGCGGGGCACTCAAGAAAAATGCGTTCATGAAGCTCGCCCTGGAGAAAGGCATTGGAGACATCCATGGAGTGAATCTCCCAATCCCAACGGGCGCCTAGATCAAGAAGGAGGCGAAGAGTGGGGAGACGGGCAGTGGGAGAGTAAGTGGCAAAGTAGTCAATGCCTTCACGTTGGGTGAAACCTTTGGCGCAGTAACGAGCTTTGAAGACAGGGAGCTCCCCAGGCAGCTGCTTGACACGAAAGACCCATTTGCCCTTGACAATGGTGGCGCCAGGGGGGGGGACAGAGTCAACGTAAGATTGAGTTCGGGTGAATGCCTCACACTCGGCAATGATGGCAGCCATCCACTCAGTTGCATGAAAGCCAGACACGGCCTCGGAGTAGGTCTGAGGGGTGGGAATGATGGCAGCCATCCACTCAGTTGCATGAAAGCCAGACACGGCCTCGGAGTAGGTCTGAGGGGTGGGAATAGCGGCAGTGTCAACGGAGAGAAGAGTGGGAGAATTGGAGAAATCGCCAATGGTGACACAGAGGAGGGGTGAAACAGGATGAATGGAGAACAGCTCCTCAAAGCGATCCTCGAGAAGATCGACGTTTGGAGAGGGAGAGAGACGAGTAAAGAGAGCAGAGTGTTGAAAATTGGACATAGCACGGGTCATGGAGCGGGTGAGACGCGGTGAAGGTGGAGGAGCAGGAGGAGAAGGAAGAGGAGCAGAAGGAGGTGGGGAAGGAGAGGACAGGGGAGCAGAAGAGGAAGAGGGAGGAGGAGAGGAGCCGGAGATGACAGCAGAGGGGGGAGCGGAGAGGGCAGGGAGGGGAGGCGGAGCAGGGGGAGGAGGAAGTAGAGAAGGAGAGGGAGCAGCGGAGGGTAGCGGGTCAAAGTCAGACCAATGAAGAGAGGGAGGAGGAGGGGTGGGAGGGGGGGCGAGGAATGGAGAACGAGTCTCATCAAAGATAACGTCCTGGCTG